GTAACAACTAGTCATGTCTTAGGGTTGTCGCTGACTCATTTAAACAAACGAAAACATTTTCTGAACTTTTTTACATCTAAGTGATCAGTGTACCACGTGGGGTCGCTGAATCTCTCCTCGCAGACGCACCCAGGAGTGAATGAAATGTTTTATAATAGTTTCAACTTTATTTAGAGTTGTAGCTAATTTCTAACTTTTGTCCCTAGTTGCTTTTTTGCAACAATCAGCTAAAACCTGAGTTTGTTACTCAATAAAATACATTAGCATGGTACATTAATATTTAAATGTTAACGATGCTGATAAATATGCAAGTGAGCAGAGACATTTTAAAACTCTAAAATAACATTTTGAACCAGTGTTTCCTACTGTTTTTGACTGAAAGTAGCTGAAGTTCCCCCAAAAGTCGCTAGATGTCGCCAGATGTTTTCTTGGTTTTAGTACTTTTGTGTAAAATGAAGCAGTAGTATTCAGAAACGTAACATGCAAACTGCCAATGACCTGAGGTGTTTGTCTTACAGTATTATTCTGTTTTTATAAAAGTTTTAAATGTGCTACGTTATTGAACTCATCATAGAGTTCCAATGTTCCTTGAATGCACCACAAGTGGTGCGAGAAGCCATGTGTGAGTGCGACGCTGGTGCCGGCCGAGCTCAGCTGCTGAAATGCGGCAGGATGGCGGAAGGAGCGGTCGCCCTTTATGTAGCTCCGGTGGCTATCTCAAATAATGGACTTGTGAAAACCCACAGAAGATTTGATTGGTCAGTGGGGGTAGCGTGATCATGCTGCACGCACATGCACAGATTATTTTCTTTCTGATCCCCTGGAAGGAAGGACGGTCCTGTCGCTTCAGATGCATCTCTAATCTGCAGGTAAAGTCTGCTACAAAGTTGTAGTCAAAGCAGCTGGGGGGGGTCAGAAATGTCACCAGATTTGTCGCTAGGCGCTTTTTTGAAAAAAAAAAAAAAAAAAGTTGTTAAGGGTGTTTGAAAAGTCGTTAGAAATGGTGACAAAGTCGCTAAGTTGGCAACACTGTTTTGAACATTAAATCTAATTTCCAATAAGACACAAAGACGGGGTATCCACGGGTCCTTAACCCTTTGATGCATAATGGTCACTACAGTGGACAGGTACTCAAAATTGTTATTTCTTTATTTTTGCTATTAAGCACAGCTGTTGAAGACTTTATTGCATGTGAGCCCCTCCATTTGGACTTCAGTAAGTCAAGCCACCATATTTCATGTTCAGAATGCACGTTGTACACTGAGATGGACATGTAATAAATTATTTGTAAATTAACAAAATGGTACAAAAAATATTTGTTGAAATTTGTTTCATTCACATCTAAAGATGAATGAAAAAATTGTTTAAAAAATCATGGTTGAAGATCTCATAATTCATGCATCAGAGGGTTAAAAAGTCTTAAATTAGCTTTTCCAAATTTAAGGTCTTAAAAATCCTTAAAAATGACAAATAATCCTTAAATACAGTTTTCAAAGGTCTTAAATTACCAACGGCCCAATAAACAAGATTATTTTATTTCTATAAAATCTTCCTGAATTTGTAGTTAGTCTTCATCTTTTTTTGTGTACGATGTTGGCGTAAGCGGAACCGTACACATTCAGTTGGTTGTGAAAGGGGGCTATTTTTAGATGAGCACATTAGCTGGTTAAGCTAGCGGGAGCTTGCACCATGGGGAAGTGCAAGTTTAATGGTAACTGGATGGCTAATCCCACGTTCGCGACGTGGTTAGCACCGGTTCCAGGCAATAGCTGGAAATTATAGCTTAAATTTTATTTTAAAAATAGCTTAAATTTGGTCAAAGTGGCCTTAAAAAAAGGTCTTAAAATGTCTTAAATTTGGCTCCCTTAAACCTGCAGATACCCTGCTAAGAGGTTATATGTGCAGCTTTGCTCTCCTTTCAGCCCGTGTGACGTCACTTTTAGCTCTTGCAGGTCCATTTCACAAACCATTCAAAATATTTAGTTGACTTTAATTTGTAGGCTAACAGTAATCAAAAGTCACCACGTAAACACTGGTGAACAGTCACAAACCTGCTCTGAACTGTCTCTACAAAATAGAAGAGCTCACCACAAGCTGCTGAAAGATCAGTCTGTAAAACTCCAGGTTCAGGCTAGTGGCCAAATATATCCCGGACAAGCCCCCATTCATATAACAGACACAACTGTACACAACCCCAAAAGTCTCAAACATGCACAGCAACCTCAAAACAACCAAAACTTACAAAATAGGTAATTAATTTCATCTTGTTGGAGTTTTATCAGACAACATGAGACTTTTTGATTCTAACCTCGACATTACATCCTTGTTTTCATCCGATGAACCACGAAGGCTCCTCAGTTTAAATAAAACATCCTCTTACTTTGATGCTCTACAGGCTCATGGCTTTTCTCTTCTAGTATCAGTTCACAAGTGCTCCAGCAGAGGGCAGCAGGTCCCACCCATGTTGCCTTTTATAAAGGGTTATTGTTGCCTGCTGGCA